ACGTATTATCCCGTGACCTTTAGAGGTTGTAATCTTAGTTTTGGAGCATGTTTCGCAATTGATAGGAGCTTTGTAACCCTTGATTCCGGCCATTTTTAACGTAGCCTCTTGTGCTTTGAGTCCAGGATGACCAAGAATTGTATGCCAGTCACGTTTTATTGAATAAATTTGAGGCGAATTGTTGGTGTTATCAGCAGGTTTCCATATCAAGCGACCTGAGACACGACTAAAGTTTGCACAGATTGATCCATTTGGACGGAGTAATTGCACATCTCGATAATTACGTGGCCAGCATATGGAGTAGCCTTGCCGCTCAAGCTGTGCTGTTGAAAGAATTCTAGTCCTTTGACCTGGCATGTAAATTGCACCTTCAAGTCTATCGATTTTGTTATCTATAGCGGGGAGTAGGATATCACCACTGCCGGTGATGTTTACTTTCCCCCCTCCAGCTACGCGTACAGTTTGTGGGGAATTGATATAGGAGGAGAAATCATCTTTATTACCAGACACGTGGAAGTCTGCTGCTGTATCTAGCTGATATACAGGTTTATCTTCTAATTTATCTAACGATAGAATTTGTTTTCTTATCCCCCCTTTTTGTTCCTTATACGCTTTCTTTTTCTTCCGGCAATCTTCTTCTTTGTGGCCAGCAATATCACAATAGTTGCATTTAAAGGTATTGTGAGGCTTCTTTGCATGTGATTTGTGGTCACTCGGTGGTGCCCACTCAAGGCATTCTGAAAGAATCTCGTCGAAGGAAAAATTGCGACAGCGGTGAGAGAGTTCTGGGTGGATGTTGGAGATTCGATCTAGAAGTACGTATCTTATTTGAAATTCTACCTCTGTTGTTATGTTAGAATGTTCCCGGAGATCCTGGTATCGTTTCTCATATTCTTTTATGAAACTTTGAATAGAACATCCCTTTTCTGGCTTGTAATCCCAGAACCGTGCGACAATCTTGACCACGTTGGTGTGTATCTTGGCGCGGCAATTCCGCACAATGTGACTTAGAATTATTCTAGGAGAGTCACTGGGAGCAGAGTGTATTTGTGGGGCGGTTTCTCTTAGCTTAGCTGCCCACCAATTTGACCACAGACGAACTGATTTTGTCTGGGGAGGGTATTCGAGAAATGCCGCCGACGTTTGTGTGAAAGAAATTAGATCTCGAATCGCTCTCAGCCATTGATTCCAATTCGATTGCTTCAGGGTTGGAATTGGAGTCATTTTGTCAATGCTTTCTAGATGTGCTGTAAGCGTGTACAATTCAGTTTTCTTGGCGGATAACTTTATTGAATCTTGGACATCTGGAGCCGTGGCAAATTGTATTTTGCCAACAGTGATGTCCTCCTCTGTGCATTTTGACGCTGGATTGTAGGCGTCTGTGGTTGCCTCCGTAGAGGGCTTTGACGATGAGTCCGACATGATGTGCGGGAATCGCTGCGATAATCGAAGATTATCGTGAAGAGGGAAGCAAGAAATCGATGTCGTGCGATTAATTCACGGACGCTGTGTTAACAGTGGAAGTGACGAGGGCCATAACCTGTAATGAGGAAGCATGAAGATTTCATTGTGTTATGACTAGCTAATTATTATGTACTGTTACAGTACATCACGTGATATGCCTGATTCCAACACTACACTTAGCCTAGCTTCTTTTGTACCGTCCAGGGCGCTGGGGAGTGCCGTTGACTCATCGACAAAAGAAGCGCTCCTGGCTAATTAGCCGAAATATTGGTCTTGGCGCCCACAAAAAATCCAAAGTTGAAAACTCCTCGAAAATGACAGTCCCAGTATGGTCTTCAGAGACCTCTTTCCCCTCTCGCTCCACATCTCAGCCGCCTGTCCTTTCTCAAGATGTATAACCCCATTAGAGCAGCAGTCCCCCATAAACCAAGACCCCAACTTTGTATATTATGACTTAATTTCCTCCTTGCGGGTATACGTAGCGACGTAAATTTGTAGTGAGTGATGGCCTGTGATGAATGAGACAAGCTCCTGTTTGCAATTGGGGTGACGCCTTTATCGGTCGTCGAGGCGAAGTGATATGTGGTTAGATCGGGGTTGAGGACTCAGAAGATAATGATGAGTGCTGCATGGTTGAGAAGTCGTCAAATGGAGATATGCATGTGTTTGCTTCCGACTTCGATTCGGAAGCGATTCTTCTTGGCTGTCCCAGAAATGTAGAGCATACTGAGTGATTACACCGGCACCACTGGAAGGTGAAGAATTCGTCTTTGCGGGCACAAAGCTCAATTCGTAAAACTCCTTGGTAAAATTCGGAATCTCACGCCTTTTGAAGTAATATCCTTCCTCTGCATCATTTTTTGAACCTGTCCTGATCCATCTCACCTCCATCTCAGAGAACTGTTTCTCAGATTTGTGCCCCACGCTTTGTTTCCTCCGTCGGGTCTAAATATCGGCGTGGGTGTGTATTCAGTAGCCAGCCGAAGCCAGAGAAGGTAGACGAGAGGTGTGGTCATTGGAATAAGGGTGTACTAGGTCATACTTGTAGACTTGATGAGTCTCAGGGAGGATTCTATCTCTTTGGGGGTGAAAATTTGATGTGGCGGAGTATTTTAAAGTATTGCCTCGTGGACCAACTTATTCGGTACTGCGAAATTTGACTGAACCTGGTTCTGGGAGAAATTTTCACTCGTAGGTTTGTAGAGGACACCGCGTACAAGTGTTCATTCTTGCCCTCTGCCTGTTTTTGCTTGTATAATTGATGCTTGAGTCATTCTACTGTAATTACTGAAGTTGCATGGTCTCAGCCTTATTATTGGAGTCTTTTTCTTGGCCTGCACTTGATAGAGTCGATCCAGTCCTTTAGCCCTTCTAACCTCTTCCTGTCTCAAAACTTAGGTCTCCCAGTCATTTTACCAGGTTTTGAGAGTCTTGTCCCTTGTCATCTGTTTTTTGTAGGTGTGAGGCAACGAAACAATAGCATTGAAGCAGAGTTAAGTTAATCTAAGTTGCGATCATTTGTATTCGGCAGCTGGAACATGCAACAAGATCAAGGTGTAGATCATTAGCAAAAGTGCTCGGACTCATGTTTCCCCTGTAAAGCAAGCTATATATAGGTCCTCTCCACCTTGAACGTCTTTCTTGATCTATAGTAAATCTTATCACCATACGGTCTATGACCACGATCATTTATCCCCTGACAGTAGGCCATAGGTATGAATTGGTCTCTTCTATTCATGTCTTTCTTGGCTCCACCTCTTACTAGATTGTATGCTAGTTCATTCCCTGCTATGCCTTCATGGCCTGGACACTATTCTAGATAAATTTGATAATTATTGCTTTTTATCCTAATTTAGTGTAAGATGATGTTGTCAGCTTTACTGTCTGAGAAGATCTAGATTCCCTGGAGTGCCCACTATATATAACATATTGTAAAGCTTTCAAGATACCATATGTCTCAGTGCTAGATTTAGTTATGGCTTGTACGAGATTATAAGAGAAATATTTGACTTATCTTGCAAAGAGCAGGTGTACCACAAATCAGAGGCTGCTTCCGGTACCTTGTGTAGGTGACCCATCTATGTTGACAATTCATGCATGATAAGGAATGGCTCTGAGAAGATGAGTATGCTCATCCCTTGCTACATGCTTAGAGGAATTAAATATTTTTGTATGCACATAGTGTGCTAGCAATGGTGGGGCCCGTTAAGCATTGATTATTTCCAATCTATTACAATCTGAGAGACCTTTGAAGAACACAAGATAGCTTCCTCGCGAAATCCCGCATTACGCAAGAAAAACATAAACATTCTTCCATCCCTCAACCTCGGCCACCATGCGCCCGAGCCTCATCTCGTTTAGATTTCATATTTGATGCTATAACCACAGGCTCCTGTCTCACAGAATGTCTGGCAATCTTACCCTTCCGTTACCTAGACTCACCACCGCGTGTATTCCACTGCCCTGGACGTACTCCTTAAGCAGTTGCCATCCACTTGGTTCGAGCATTGTTCTCAGAGCCGCCACCCTTCTTCATCCGATTTTCAGTCGAAATTTCACCTGTGCTTTTCTACACTAGACAAGGTGATCCATTGATTTTTCCTTGTCACTCGCAGTGAATTGCGGCCGTGGTGTGATTGAAGCGGCGATGATGTGCCACGAAGCCCCCATGTCCAGTTTCAGCAGCGAGCAGGCGAGCGTTAACCGCTCAAGGAGGTGCTCATTCTGGCGGTTTCTTGCGCCGCATCTCGAATTTGACGTCGATGTAGCATTTGAGACATTTCCCATGCATCCAGTCCGTCAACATTTGCCTAGCTAGTTTGCAAACTTTGCGTGCAAATGAGGCCAGGGTCACACAGTGGCTGTGTGGTCAGTACTAATGAAAAATTTTCACTGTAATAGTTGTTTCTTGCATACCCAGTTTACTCCTAGAGACTGCGCATATCAGATTTCATTTTACGTGTAACTTATACCCTTAGCGAAGGCGTTCATTGAATTTATTTTTTTCTCTTCTCATACGAAAATCACAACAAAGCCTTATTATCTGAGGCCCTGAACTTTTGAGCCTCTTTATTCTGTTACTAAATTTCACATCCTAAACTGTGAAGTCATGACCCTCCTAGTCTTTCACTTCAACCATCGCTGATCCCATAATGAGCTAATATATGAATAATGAATCTATCGCGAATATATTTGTACAACTGCAAGTTATAAAGAATTGCTAGAAAAGGTGACGTTTAGTTGTTTTCACTAGTAATCCACGTTGAGTCTATGCTTTCAATTCTACCCTGAATAAAATCATGAGTGGCGAGTCGTAATCGATTCGCGGAAGATTAAGAATCAATAAACTTCTGTAAGTAGGACCAAATTTTTATTCGACAACATCATTTTCGTGAGTGATTTTACCTTTAAAGCTTGTATTTCGTGACTTCTTTTTCATATCCTTAAGTTGTAGAAGGGGGTGATTGTAATATCATTTCATGTAATATAAAATAAGGCAGTGATCACCATTTATACCCTAACTTCTAGGTATGCAATTAAGGTGATAATTCAATGCATTTATGAATTTTTTTTTGGTGGAACCAAAAAGCTCCGAGGAAATTACAGTTTTTATCAAAAAAAATCATAGATTTATTCGGTGTCATTCCTCCTCTCCCTATGAAGTCAGCACGTTTGTTCGAAACAAGTGGACGCTCTCTCACCAATGCTTGGAAATACAGCTTCTGGTAATTTTAGGGACTGCTTTACAGTTGTAAATGTTCCTACAGTAGAAGTTAAATCCCCATCATTTTGGTAACCGTTCAGGGTAATTGAAGATTTATCGAGTTGCTGCACTACATTGCAACCTAACTGCATGTGGCTATTGACTGATTTTTGCGTGAACTTGTATGAGCCGCACATGTAACTAGTTACACCAAGGAAATTAATTTCTCCGATGGAATTCGTTGTTATATCAAAGGAGTGACGTGGTTCTGGTTCATTTTCTAAAAGTTTATCACATCTTGCCCAGATATTGTTCTTCTTAAATACCATGTCTAACATTTTAAATTGGGAATCTATAACGATAAAGTAGGGTCTAAGAAAATCTTCTATCTATTTGTCAGGCCATCATCTTTAAAAACTGGGAAACCACCAAGTTACCTATTTTATGATATTCCTTACTTGCTACCTCGTTGGGCACAACATAAACGGTCGTTTGAAATAATTCATCAATAGCTGTATATCTCTGTAAGCGAAAGTTGGTTTGGCCATGTTTCTGCGCCTGTTGGGGTTTTGTAGCTGCCTTGACCGTAATTTTGATGTACGGCATATCAAATATTTCATTCTCACATCTGTAGGCCCGGAGGATGGATTGCTTTCTAGGACCAGAGCTGGATGATAATTCGTATAAGTTTTCAGACTTTACCGGTTGATAGCAGCGTAAAACAGGTTCATCTTTGATTGTCTTTACCATTCCGTAAAATTTACAGCTTGAGTCTATGAGCAAACGAAACTTTCCAGCATGACCTATATATCTCTCAGTGATCAGCACGTCGTCAACTGACACTTTAAGTTGTTCTGATGCCCACCTTTGATATAATGATCCCCATCAATTGTGACAGGCCAGGAAAATAGAATAGCATCTTCTATAAAGTGTGTGGTGGAAGGATCGAATTCAGCAGGAAATTTATTCCTGTTTGTTAAGTCACTGAAAGACGAACAAGCGTGAAAAATTGCCGTGTTGATCCTATCTTTGGGGACAATGTCCCGCTCACAAACAAAATCAGATTCGACAACATTTGCGCTAATTGCGTAGACTAGAAGGCTTGTCAAGATCAAGTGCAGCGGTGAGAGTCCCTTCATTTCCCTTGTTGAACAAACTTTCGAGTCTCTTCTATCAGGTCTGCCTGAACAGGACTGTACCATATAAACCGCTACACAAGTCTAATCTAAGCATAGGATATGTCTGAAGATTTCCATCTGACTTCGCGTAGGCTGAGTCAGTATCTTGTCATAGATTCTTAGTTCTTTCGGCCGAGTGAAGTGGAAGCCAAGGAATTTGCTCGAGTATTTAATTGGCCATCCCCTTCTTTCATTAGAGGCTGATTCATGTTAGTCGGATGGATACAAATGACTTTTCCGCATCGGTCGAGTTCCTTTAATGATATTGCCATGATTGGAGCTCAGATGAAAAGCAATATTTAAAATCAATGGCTTGGATTTCTCCTTTGCAAGGATAAAAATTTGAACTCAAAACCTTTATCATACAGGAAAAAATTCAACTGGAAAATAAACAAAAAGATGCAAGTCCCTTCTGAAGCAAAAAGGGCTGTATCCAGTGCTTTCAACTAAAGATAGGCCATGGATACAACAAGGCATACCTTTACAAACGGGGACATAGCACCAATGACAAGTGTAGGTGTGGGAAGCGAGAAACACCGGAACATCTTCTACTCAGTTGCAGCTATTACAAGCATAAGAGGAAAGAACTCAAGGAGAAAATGAATGGAAATAATCTCACATTGAACATGCTCCTTCATACCAAGAATGGCATAGAAAATCCAAATCAATACATTTACAGCACTAGAATCTCAACCAGGGCATGGCATCTATACAGAAATGAGGGGATTTAGAAGTAAATACAAGAATAAAAATAAATTGAATGCGAAGTCAGTTGGGCCAGAATATTCAAAAGTTGGTGGAAAATATATTGAAAAAAAATATAAATATATATACAGGGCTTGTTCCTCACTGTCTATGAGAGCAAAGCGTAAAGTTAAACAGTTGGAACTTAAAACATGTAGCTAGTATCTTATTTGTAGATTATAGGAGTCCTCAATAGTCGTTGACTCAGTTAGGACTTTAATACAAGTCTAATCTAATCTAATCCTTTAATCATAGTCTTGTACAGGTGGTCAAGTTCACAAGTAAGAATTTAATTCTGGGGCGAAATGGAGAGTCATTGCCTTCATCAAACTCTTATTACTTCATTCAGAGTGACAGAACAAATAATTTTCGGTGTCCTCAACTAATTTGACAATTAAATAAATGTCAGACGCAGTGGGCATCATTAGGTGTTGGGAAAAATACTCTGTACGATATTATATGGATAAGTATGATGAAGTAAAGAAGACTTGATATTTTACAACTATGTGAACATCGGACTTATATATACATCTAAGGGAGAAATTCCCGCTAGTCTCGTGTGCCTATCAAACCTAGTGATGACCAGCCACTTCTCATCGACCATAATGAGCCAAGATACACTGTAGTACGTAAATATCCACACGTATATGCGATAGTAGGCGCGATTAGCGTACTCGAGACATTTGTAGAGAGAGTCGATTTTGTCGGGAACCTGAGACGAAATAGGTAGTGGTTGAGTCCTAAATTCGAGAGTCAGAATTTCCAACATTAGGGCGTCAATATCATACGATATAAACTTTGAGATATTTCACCTCTCGTATTTCGAGAGACTTTGTTCCAGCTAACACATTCTATCGTTTACCTATCCAGTCTCTATCTGTGACATCGACATGGAAGAATAGAATCTGAGTTGATGGTCTAGCCAACAGAAAAGATACACTGCGAAAACTTTGAGATAATAAGTCTTGATATAGTTACGCCCTCAAGGCTCCAAACATGCAATGAGCAAGGCAGTGTAGGTGCTTGAACATGAAACACCTACACGTGACATGTATGCCAATCTAGTCTTGGCATTACTCAGCAAACACCCACACCTCATGTATACAGAGCTCGCTGTAGTTACTCCTATTTCTCCTTCCATAGCCAATCTATCTTACATTCCTAAGGCTGCCTCTATACCATTTTCATACCTCGTGATTGATATTGTTAGAATCTGGAATGATTGGGGCTGTAAAGTAGGCCACGTTGTTGGTACACATGTGACTACAAATTCTGTACTTAGTTTCACATCGGTAGTTACTTGAATCAATGCGCTCTACAACCTCAATGACTGAGGGGTCATTATTTCTTTAATAGATATAGATATAAAGTGTAAAGAGTTACAAATTACACTTCCTAGTAGAATGATACCTTGATAAGGATTCAACGACCATTCTGAAAATCCTCACGATTGTTCGAGCGGACTTAATACTGACTAAACCATATTTTTATAACTATTCAGAGCAATAATAGATATCAAGGTGTCGCAAATTGTTTGGTTATTTTTTAAATTTTAATTGTGACAGTTGAATTTGGACTCTCACATGCTGAATGTCTTGTCAATACTTTTTTGAGATTTGTTTCTTTAGATCTAACAGTCGACCCCTGCCGGCAGAGACGAATAATTCACCCTCTAGTGGTGCCGGTGTAACCACTCATTATGCTCTGAATTCCTGGGATAGCTAAGTAGATTCTCACACGAATCGCAGTCGACAGCAAACACTGACACATCTACAATCGGCGACTTCTCAATAATGTCAGTCTTGTGACTCTCACGTGATTCATCAATCTTCATCTTACCTCAATCTAACTCGCCCCAGCCATGGACAAGGTGTTACTTCAATGGCAAACAGGTCCTTGCCTCGTGAATTACCAGAAATCGCCCACCACCAATTTACGACTCCACCCATACCACGCGAGAAGGAAATAAAGTCATTATATGCAAAGCTAGGGCCTTGGCCTATGGGGGATTGCTGCTCTTGTGTGGCTCCACAACTAGAGGAGGGACAGGCGACAGGGACTCTGAATTTATTATGTCTGAGTGGTCAAACAGTGGAGAGTGTACTTGCCTTGTAGGTAACTTAGACTTTGGAGATGCTGTTTGTGGTATGAAGATGAATCTGTCTGTAGAATTGCATTCTTCGTTGTATATCTTATTATTATCTGGGGGAAGGGAATACTCTTATTTATACACACAGCTCATCTATCCCCTTGATAGTAGGATTTTCTACATTTTTCTCTATCGCATCCACATACAGCTATCCGTCATGCTACAACACTAATTGCATCTTGTATGGGTCAGTCAATGATCTACCGCAGCTTAGATGATTGGCTGAGAGAGTTCACCTCATATTAGAGCGCTAGGAAAGTGTAGGTTGAATGGACAATATGCTGCAATGGTGGGGAATCAAGCTATAGTCATCGCATACTCTATTTGATATTTCTCAAAGTCTACAGATATGAAATGTCCATAACCCACGTCTCTATACGGCCTAGTTGATTTCAAGTTACCAAAGATTGAACCGACTAGGGACCCTACTTGTAGTCGGAATCTTTCTATAAGCAAAGTGCTGGTGGTGATGTAAAAATAATTATTGTTCCATGTTGCAGCAGTGTACATCATCCACACTAGTCACTCAGTTAGAATTCGAATAGTATAGATAGCTGTCCCACTTTGGATGGGAATTTGCCTATTCAACTCCAGAAAGACTCAATCGCAATGACAGCGTTGCATATGTACAGGGAGCCAAGCTTTTAAAATAACCTTGGGGCCCATAGATAAGGGGCGACTGTTCAGTGTAGACGAGCATAGCTCTCAGTAGTATTTGCGGCGAACAGGCTTTGCATGATTGTCCTTAAAAAAAATCATATACATTGTCTGCATGAAGTTTTGTCCATGCGTGCTAAATACGTAGCTAAGTATTTGTCAGGTAATGGAAAAAGCTTGTAACAAGTCATTCTAGACTAAATCAGATGAAGTCGTGGGTTCCAACTGACCCACTTCTTGAACGGGTGAGGTCCACTAATTCCCCTCATGCCATGCTTGCTTGTATCTGCCCGACTTCCCTACAATAGAGACCAAGGCCCATACCAACACCAAGCTTTCATCTCACAAAACAGAATATAATATCGACCATGACTTCCAAAGACAGAGCTAACCCGTAAGTGAATACCACAAATCTCATCCTCTCCTTGATACCCATGATTGATTTGCTCATGCTGCGACTAATATCTGCTCCATATAACAGTCTTCGCCTGGGCTCAATTGCACCCAATTTCCAGGCAGAAACCACTCAGGGTACGATTGATTTTCATGAATTCATCGGAAATAGTTGGGTCATTCTCTTCTCCCACCCGGAAGACTACACTCCCATCTGCACCACCGAACTCGGGGCCTTTGCCAAGCTTGAGCCAGAGTTCACCAAGCGCAATGTCAAATTAATCGGACTATCAGCCAACACGGTTGAATCTCACGGTGGCTGGATAAAAGATATTGAAGAGATTTCATGCTGCAAGTTGAACTTCCCCATTATTGGGGATAAAGACAGAAAGATTTCCTACGCATATGACATGCTAGACCATCAAGATGTAACCAATGTAGATTCCAAGGGCATCGCTTTCACCATACGCTCTGTCTTTGTCATAGACCCTAACAAAGTCATCCGCCTCATACTCTCATATCCCGCCTCTACGGGACGCAACACAGCGGAAATTCTACGTGTAATTGACTCTCTTCAAACTGGAGACCGCCACCGTATTAACACTCCCATCAATTGGATACCCGGTGATGATGTGGTAGTTCACCCAAGTCTTACGGACGAGGAGGCTCAGAGTCGCTTTCCAGAACTTCGTATTGTAAAACCTTATCTCCGTTTTACTCCGCTCCCACTTGAAAAGACTAGTGCTGCAATCTGATAACCGGGTTATGCTCTAATCAGAGGAAATTAAGTTAGACTTACTGCTTCTTACACATCTACCGTTTCTGAAATATAGACCATCTACCTAATGATATACCTTGATCTTGTGTTAGATGATGAGATGGGTCAGATTCTTGACAGGATTTCCTTGTCTATACGGAAAGCGTGACATTTCACATTTTTCGGGTTGATTCATGTGCATGATATCATAAAAAGACACCTTCTCAACGAAAGCAATTTCATTGAATTCCACGTAGACCCTACGCGATCTAGATTATGTGTATGTGTGTTTATTGTAATACTTGAGTCTATGAGTACCGAGCACACTGGGCTACTCTCTGATCCAGGCCACACTCTGTGTAGTGCTACTTGCCTCTTGTACTGCTTGAGAAATCTCCGATATACTGCCCGTAATGAGCAGGCAACGAGCTTAGTGTTTACCGATGAAGTTTAGACTCCTTTCTACGGAACCTTCTACTCAAAAACAGATAAAAATGGTGGAAATGTAAATTGCGTGCGCAGGCAAAAGTCCCAACAAGCCTGCAGCCCAAGCCACATGGATACGCATATTCATCTATATCTCCATTCTTTGTATCATTGGAGACCATCTTGATCCAATCCACTGTCGCCGTATCGGATGCTGGGTACGCTCCTGAAACTTATCGGATGGTTTTTCCCCCATGATCACAAATGGGTAATGAAAAGGATGTGTATCCTAGACATGGCAGGCTACGTAATGTGACATAGACTACTAAATGTGGTTAGCCTATAATTAGTAAGCTACGCTCAATGTGTAGATTTCGGAGTTGGGTGTTAGGGAGAGATATAAACAAATTGTTAGAACTCAAGCTTAACTATTGAATTCTGTGGAATTAGCTGTAGAAGAGCCACGAATTGGAGGGCAAGACTGAACACCTGTAGGCGGTGTCCTCTACAAACTTGGGAGTGAAATAACCTCCTAGAGCCAAGTTCAGTCAAATTTCGCAATGTCAAAGACGTTGGCCCACAAGGCAAAAATTCAAATTACTCTACCATGTTAATCTTTCACTCTCAAAGAGTCCGATTCTCAACTAAGCTTCATCAAGTCTACAAGTACGACCTAGTACATCCTTATTCCAATGACCACACCTCTCGTCGACTTTCTCTGGCCTCAGCCGGTCACCAAATACACGCTCACGCCGATATTTATACTCGACGGAGGACACAACGCGTGGTGCACAAATCTGGGAGACAGTTCTTTAGGATTGGCGTGAGAGGATTCAGGACATGTTTACAAGATGATGCGAAGGATGGATATAGTCTCGACGGGCGTGGAATTTTGAAGTTTGGCATGGATTTTTCACAAATTGGGCTTTGTGCGCGCCAAGACTTCGCTTGCGAGAGTGCAGCTGACACTATAAACACAAGCAAACGATGGAAGGTGTTGTGATCCGCCTCCTGGTTGTGTTCTCTGGTATGGTTTGAGTAGCCTGGGCACCTACTCCACTTAGGAAAGAGATACCTCAGATCACAGATCGCGCGGAAAAAAGTTGAAAGATGATGGAGGCATGTCTGGATAACTCAGGGATTTTGAGATATACCCTTGGATGGGTATTCACGGATGAGGGTTGACTTGGGGTGAAAAAAAAGCTACCATAACTTCGCAGTGGTACTTGCAAATGAAATCTGAGGCATGAGTGCTCTTCCTTTACGTTAAATCATCTATTCTGTACTTTTCTTTGATATTGTGTCATTGCTAGATAGGTGCGTACGCAATTAAAATCTGATGCAAAAAATTAAAATCCCCTGGGGTCCGTACGCAGTGCCATGGCCCTTAGTAACAGGACGGATATCTATTGCCGACTGGAATCTGAGGCACCCCTGTTTTTTTATATATTTTTTTTTTATATTAAAGTCCTGAGCTAGAGCTCTAGGTCCACTATCGGTACAAGACTGGTGGAGCCGGCGGGGATCACTGCTTACAGGCCCAACTCATTCCAACCGCGTGACCCGCTACAGAAAAAGTAGCAGATAAATTATAACTCAGAAACTGTAATCAAAAACTAAAATCAAAACTAAAAGCCAAAGACTGAAATCAAATTTACAAGATTTTTCGTGTGGTCCGGATCCCGCGCTTCTCGCCCGTTCCCTTTCCTGCCACATCTTCCAAATGACAAATTTACTTAATCTCCACTGAGAGCAAGAGATGAGATAGCAGGCACTTTTTATCCAGCCGTTATCCTGCTATTGGTTAGTATATGCCCCAAAAGGGACATCGTCGAGGTTGCTGTGTCCTCAAACTTCTTCTTCAAATTCCAGAACTCCGAAACCTGTAGCCTCGGCCATCGAGAAGTCCTTTGCAGCGGCGGTGATTGCCTCTTCGGCCTTCTTTGCTGTTGCTCGTGCTCGTGCCACCTTCGCGAACTCCCCTTGTTCGATGTGGCGGATCCACGCGAGCTGCTCTTTGGTCACCGGTCCAGACTTTCTGGGTCTGACTTTGCAGTCCCGAGAATCCGATCGGTGGGGTCCCCCACTGTTGCGACACTTTGTGAGGGCCTTGCACTCGGCTTCCGAGTGAGGCACCTCTATTGTATGTATGTATGTATGAATTTCGTATCAGGCAAAAAGCCCTACACCCAAGAGGCATGATACGGGCGTGTGATCCCTAAAGACTCACTACTACCTATTTGTCCAGCTTTCTAGGCCGATTGATTACATGAAAAGAAAGGGATAAAGAAAAATTGCCTGACAAAAATACGCCCTGCGCCTTGCTCACTTTCATATTCAACTGCTAAAGATATTCCAGTCCCTCGGAAAGGTTTAGTCCTCTAAATGTGAAATTTATCCCGCGTAGCATCTCGTTGCGGTTATGTACTTATAGAATTCCTTCCATCCGTTTTCTGTCAACATGACTCGACTTCTTGGTGGTGGTTCATGTCTGGATATTCTCCATTGTCGCAAAGCCGTTCGTCACTCTGCAAAGTGCCAAGGACGTCTTTCCCTTCCATAGACGCATCTACGGTCTATATTTTCATGCCCGAATCCGTCATGGTAACCCTTGAAATCTCCGTGTCCTCGCTGCTATTTGACGATGGTATGCCCATCTCGGCAGTCCAAGCTTGGGTGGTCGTTTCCGCCTCATTAGAAGGTCTAGTTCTTCGTACCGTCTTGGTCTATTTTGAAGCCACCAGGATTCTAAAGCTTCCTCGGCCTGCTCTCGGACGAGCCGGTTCAGCGCTACAAAGGTATATATCTGCTCACCCCTTAAGTCTCATAGGTCTCTTAGGGCTGCCTTAGCCAATTTGTCCGCCTGCTCGTTCCCGGCAATCTCAGAATGTCCCGGTATCAAACGGACCTCGACTGATAGGAACTGGTTTGTCTGAGTCGTGAATTTGTCGACCACAGACTGAGACGATCTTGTTCGGCCGCTTTGTAGGGCTCTCACGGCTTTAGGGTTGTCCAGGAGTACCTTTACTGGGCCTCCGTTTGCCTTCTTTATGGCTCTTTCATGGCTTTCTGGGCTCCTAACAGCTCTGCGTCGTAAACCTCTGCTCCAGGCATGGGACCCGATCCTGACCCTATTATTTGGCCTGCTCTGTATAGGGTGTATTCCCAAGCAGATTTGGCGGGGCCGCATGAAGATCCATCCGAATAAGCACAGACTGTCTCCGCTGACAGACTAGCTATCCATTGCTTGGCATGATCTGCTTCCGCTTTCTTGTCGTTTCCAGTGGATTCACTTGTGGTTTCACCTCTTGGGTAATAAAGTTTACCCGGACCTTCGGCTGTCGGCACGCTCTTAGAGTTTATTTGGAGCTTCGTGAGGCAACGATCTAGTAGAGAGATCGCTCGGTTTCTTTGGCCTGCCCGCAGGACTAGACGACTTATCGTTTCCTTGGGTCCTTCTCTAGATCTGAATACTAGCGGGTGCTAAGCGTCGAGTCGTTATATCCGTGCAGCGGCCTGGAGTTGCCTTTTCTGTAGCAGAAACTTTGCTGGAGGGACGCCTGACTCTCGGTACAGAGCCATGTTTGGCGTGGTACGCCATGCTGGTTGCGTTGCTCAAACTGCTTTTAGGATTGTGCTGTCCAGTAGATTGATATGCCAGCCAGCCCCGGTACCCACTTTCTTGTCACGCTTAGTAGTGATCCTGGTCAGCCCTGGCCACCATGCCTCTACTCCATATAGTGCCGTGCTTAGGACACAAGTCTGCACCACTTTGATCATTGGGCCCGGGTCGATCACACGTTGGACCATATTAATATGACATATAAATTGGGTTATACGTTGGGCTTTCCCGCACCATTCTTGAACATGCTGCTTAAAGGAGAGTTGGGAGTCTAGCCATACTCCAAGCCATATCACACATAAGAATGGTTGAATGCTTTTTCCCTTGATCTGAATGCCGAGTTCCGTGATGTCTACTCTTTTTCTTGGCCCTCCTCCTATCACTAGGAGTTCCGACTTAGCTGGATCGAAATACATCTTGTGCTCATTAGCTAGCGAGACAAGATTGTTGACTTCGTGTTGAAGTGTTTCTACTGCTTGAGCCGCAGTGCTTCCTACACCGAAAATGGCTATGTCGTCCGCATATCCAAATCGGGTTCCACGATTGCCATCCTGGAGTAGAATAGCGATGTACAGTAAGGACAAAAGCGGTGATAGTGGCGAGCCTTGGAGGACCCCGCACTCCATCATTTTATCTTGCGTCGTCCCATTTTGATGTCGGACACGTGTCCTTCGCTGAGACAGAAAAGATTTTATCCATTGGCAAAGATTAATAGCCCATCCTTGTTCCCGCATCCGGTATAATAGGCGCTTGTGAAGTACTGCATCGAACGCACCTTGCACATCTAGGGTTGCCATGGCCATGGCCTTATCGTTCCGCATTGTCGCTTCTGCATCATATATAACACAAGAGACAAGATCAATCGCCGAGTGCCCAGGTAGGGCGCCAAAGAGCTGCTGGGGATCAGCTCGATGTTCAATAGCCAGCCAGGCCATTCGCTTGGCCACTAA